AAGAAAAAAATTTTTAGGAAACTGTGAAAAGTTCTTTGATCTGTTAATATTAATTTGGGAAATAAATAAATAAATAAATAAATAAATAATTCAACAGAGGGTGAATAATTTTGTCTTCAACTGAATATCATATTGCAAACGTTAAACTTTAACTGTGTTTGTGTTCAACACTCAAACTGCTCATTTTACAGAGTGATGTCATTTGAACACACACAAAACCTGCCTTGAAAGCAGTCTGTCCTGAATGAGTCTGCTAAACTACAACATTTTCAGCCTCCTTGTGCTAATTTCAATCTGTTTACACACACTAACGCTCCCTGGTTTAGCTGCGCCCTCAGCACTCAAGACCACAGATATCACTACTAGTATTTCTGGGTCATCTGGTTTCTGTCATAACAACTACAGAGGGCTGTTCTGTGTTCAATGCAACAAAAGCAGATATCTACATTGAATATTCAGAGTCTATATAACAAGGGTCAATGCTGTGGCAAAAAGGGGTTTGTTTACATCCCAAACCCTGGTCTTCAACACTCAAACACAGACACACACACAAGTGTCTCACCCTGCTTAAGCATAAACCCTCATCACCATGATAAAACAGGGATCTCATGGGAGTGGGAGGGGTGGATCAGAGAGGAACTGCTTAGCAAAACCCAGCACGATGGCTGGGAAACAACTGAAACAGTGCCTAAGGCTACACAGCTCCAATACACAGTGACCTTTGGAGATTTAAGAAACTTTAACACAGATACAGACACACACAAGCAAATTAAAGTGATACTTCACCCAAAAAGAAAAATGTAGTTACTATTTACGCTCACTCAAGTGGTTCAAAACCTTTATGATTTTCTTTCCTCTTGTAAACAAAAGAAGATATTTAGAAGAAACCATTGACTTCCATTAAAGGGAAAAAAGAGTTACAGGTTTTCACCTTTCTTCAAAGTATCTTCTTTTGTGTTCAATAGAAGACAGAAAGGTTTGGAACAATTAATATATGAGTAAAATGTGTCTGAATTTTCATTTCCAGATCAAATATCTCTTTAAACCAAAGGCAGTGCTGCGTCAACAGACTTAAATCCATTTAATTTAGGGCATTTATTTTATTTTCTTCTATTTGCCTCTATTTTAGCTTTTTTAACTGCTTACTGTTTCTATTTATCACCTACATGGCTCAAAAATTTAGTGTCTGATGCCTAAAATTAAATGTACAAAAGAGATCTTATATTTATTAACATATATAAACACATAAAACATATATAAAACATTTTAAATGAAAGTAAAAAAGTGAAAAGGTCTGTAGATATTGGTAAAGCAGTGTTATATTGTCAAACGCATCAATAGATAAGATGGTGAAGTTTTTTTCTCGCCGCTGTCGCCACTGACTTGCATGGTTCAGGACTTGTGGAGCTGCGGATTTGCTCTTCAGTGTTTGGACTTTCAGCAGTGAAAATTAGACAGCACTCAACTGAACTAAACTGAACTTAAACTCTTAAAACTGCACTGACAGTTTCAATTTACTAGCACTTCTATGTGAAGCTGCTTTGACACAACTTACATTGTAAAATCGCTATATAAATAAACATAAATTGAACTGAATTGAATTAATATAAATTGAATATATTAATTTAAAAATCACATTCAAATTTTATTTGAAATATGAAAATTATTATTAATAATAAATAAATAAATAAATAAATAAATAAATAAATAAATAGATAAATAAATAAATAAATAAATAAATAAATAAATAAATAAAATGTTAACCTGAAATTGTACACGGGAAATAGATGGTTTTACAGTACTGATAGTGTGTAACAAAATAAACGTAAAGACATTTTTTCCACATTCTACAAAATTCATAATTCAACTTATATTTGTTATGCTTATAATATAATTGATGAAGTGTAATTTGCATTAAAGTCTATTTAATTTAACAATGAGCTGTTCCCTAATTTCCTCCTGATTGCCAACCCCCCACATACACACACACAAACAAACACGCTGTATACATTTAAATTGTCATACTATGCATAATGTTTATTCATGACTAATGAACTGAAGCACATTTACCATCTCTTTTTGAATCAAATCCTAGAGTCAAATTCCCCTTTGCCATCCAGTGATTGAAAACATTTGTAAAATTTAACTTTTACAATATTTGGAAATATGTGTTGCATATGAGACACATTTGATTTTTGTAAAATCCAAACGTGAACCTGTTTGTCATAAATGTCATTTGCATATATTGCCATATATAATTAAATAAGTGATAAATATAAATCATCATAAATCATTTAAATTCAAGTAGACTTGGTATTTAGGTATTTAGACTTAACAAAGCATTTATACACTGCTACTCTGTTTATTTAAAGTGCTTCTTTTATCCACACTTGTAAGTGGCTAAGGATAAAAGCATCTGCTAAATGAGTAAATATAAATATACTATATTTCTATTGTGGTGTAACCAGGTTAGCTTAGCAAATAAACCAGAATTGTGAACTTAAACTTATCATAGCACTTATGCACTGCTACTCTCTGATGAATTAAAGTGCTTTTTTAAGTCTCTATAAATAAAAGCATCTGCTAAATGAGTAAATATTAAATATACTATATTTCTATTGTGGTGTAACCAGGTTAGCTTAGCAAATAAACCAGAATTGTGAACTTAAACTTATCATAGCATTTATACACTGCTACTCTCTGTCGATCAAAAGTGGTTGGAAATAGTTACTACCAACTCCGCCTTTTCTCAAAAATGAAATCCTCTCTTCCTTCACACTCACTAGAAATTGCCATACACGCGCTTATAACCACCCGGTTGGACTATTGTAACTCTCTCTATTTTGGGCTGCCTACGTCTCAGATTGCTCGCCTACAGTTAGAGCATAACGCAGCAGCTAGATTCTTAACAAAAAGCCCGAAATATGCACATGTCACTCCTATTCTGAGGTCTCTACATTGGCTACCGGTGACACAAAGAATCGAATTTAAAATCCTTCTCTTTGTGTATAAAGCCCTACATGATCTAGGCCAGGGGTGGGTAAACTCGGTCCTGGAGGGCCGGTGTCCTGCACAGTTTACCTCCAACTCTAATCAAACACACCTGCTTATAGATTTCTAGTAATCTTGAAGACACTGATTGGCATGTTCAGGTGTTTTTGATTAGAGTTGGAGCTAAACTATGCAGGACACTGGCCCTCCAGGACCGAGTTTGCCCCCCCCTGGTCTAGGCCCTCATTATTTATCCCAACTGATTGTTAATTACACTCCCCTGAACACTTGCATTCCGCTGATCAGTTTTTTATTAAAAGTTCCAAAGGCCCACCTCAAAAGAAGAGGAGAACGTGCTTTTGCCATAGCAGGTCCTCACCTCTGGAACGCCCTGCCATTAGAACTAAAAAAGGCTTCGTCGCTGCCTGTTTTAAATCTAAATGAAAGATGCATTTATTTTCTTGGTCTAAGAAATTAAGTCCTTCCCTTCAGGGGGGGGTTGGGAGTGGGGAGGGGGATCAAAACGGTCATGTTCTTAATCGTGTTTAGTGTTGGTCAACTGTGGTAGCATCTTTTAATTAGGCAAAAATTATTTTTATTTATTTATTTATTTTATTTTATTCTGCTCTTTTATTGATACACTCTTCATGTTCTTTCCTATTATGTGCCTATTGCTGTTACTGTTTGTATGCTCATGTCATGTGTTTATTTTCTCTCGGTAAAGCACTTTGTGCAGTCCTGTGGCAGTTGGAAACGTGCTATATAAATAACTTGAACTTGAACTTGATTTGAGGTGCTTTTAATAAGTCCTGTTGAATAAAAGCATCTGCCAAATGAGTAAATGTAAATATACCACATTTCTATATGGTTGTAACCAGGTTAGCCTAGCAAGTAAAGCCTGAACTGTGACTTATCATAGCATTTATACACTGCTACTCTCCAATGATTTGACATGGTCCTTTTATCCTCATTGGTAAGTGGCTATGGATGAAAGCATCTGATAAATGAGTGAATGTAAATATACCATATTTCTATATGGGTTGTTATCACCAGGATAGCCAAGCAAATAAACCAGAATTGTGAACTTAAACTTATCATAGCACTTATGCACTGCTACTCTCTGATGAATTAAAGTGCTTTTTTATAAGTCCCTTTGAATAAAATCATCTGCTAAATGAGTAAATGTAAATATGCTATACGGGTTGTAACCAGGTTAGCTAAGCGAATAAACCTGAATTGTGAACTTAAACTTATCATAGTATTTACACACTGCTACTGTCTGATGATTTGAAGTGCTTCTTTTATCCTCACTTGCAAGTTGCTTTGGATAAAAGATGCTAATATACTATATTATATGGGCTATCATCATCAAAAGGATAGCCTAGCAAATAAACCTAAATTCTGATCCCAATCCAGTGGCGCAACACCACACCTTAAGACGCACACATGCAGCATCATCAACAAGACCACAAATCTGTATTAATATCTCCGAGCATCTGTCATGCAACGACACCCTCGCAGGGCGTGTGTGTTTTTGGGCCCAAGGTGATGATGAGGCAGGATCTAAAGCAGACCGAACCATGACCAAGCAATGTCAAACCACATGCACCACTAATAAAATCCCGCAGCACCATGAAGACAGGACCGAAATTCCCCTAAAAGCAACATAAGCATAACACACACACACAAACACTCTTTGGCTATTGAGCTGAAAACACTGGGCCATGCTTCCGTGTACAGTGGGTGGAGAAAACACACTGACTCTCTTACATTCCCAACAACAACAAAAAAAGCAACGCTGCAGATTTTGAAAGCTTATCAAGAGGCTTCAATGTATGTTCTGCCCTCCTTGTGGATGCTATTAATGCATGCGTCAGGTTCTTCCTTCAACAATGTTGTCCTTTCAATCAATCGAACACTTAGGCAGCATCACGTCTCGTTTAGATCTACACTGAATTTGCTCAAATGAAGCATGTGGATGAAGCTGAAGAGAGAAGCCGGGTACTCACCATAACACTATCTCCTCCATTTGTCCATCCAGTGCGGTGTGTGTGTGTGTGAGGGAGGTGCCACTGCAGGGCTGCCTGCCTCGAGCAGCCCTCGCCGGACGGATGCTGATGATGTAGCGCCTTTCAGGAGAGCAGCCCAGTTGCCTTGGAAACTGAGGAGTGATGGAGTGGCCGTGCTGCAGTCTGATTGGCTGGAGAGGGGTGGTGCTCTGATGTGGGGCCCCCGGTGGGTGTGGCTACAGATGAGAGAGAGGAAGCGGAGCTGTGAAAGCAGAGAGACGCAGACAGATGAATATAAACACACACACTCGTGTTTATCATCTACGTGACATTTCAATTTACGTGATCAAAAGCAACACATAAGTAATCTGTCCCTCATTTAGTTATATACTTGGTTTATTTATTTAATTTACTTCATTTTTCTTCCATTTACAGTGTTTTTGGTGTATCTAAGTGCATCCGTAAACTGTTTTCCCTGATTCCTTTCCATCTTTCTTCTTAATCGTTGGTGTTTACATTTGTAAAATTGAAAAAATATTAAATAAATCATAAAAAAGCAGCACATAAGATGAAGAAGTACTCACAGGAGTGCTCCAAGCTACCAAAGAACAACAGTTTGTAAACAATATGGCAATACCCAGTTAGTTTAATGCAGTACACAAATGCTGTTTATTCATTCATTGATTTTCTTTTAGGCTTAGTCCCTTTACTTATCAGGGGTCACCACAGAGGAATGAACCGCCAACTTATCCAGCATATGTTTTACCCAGCCGATGCCCTTCCAGTCGCAACCCAGTACTGGGAAACACCCATACACTCTTGCATTTATACACACAATTTAGCTAATTTAATTTACATATACCGCATGTCTTTTGACTGTGGGGGAAACCGGAGCACCCGGAGGAAACCCACACCAACATGGAGAGAAGTTTATTTATTGTTTTTGCTTATTTATTGTTTTATTGATTATTACGGTGTAAATTTTGGCTTGTTACGTTGGCTTATTTAAGTTTGTATTTCTCTGCATTTTTTTATTTGTTGTTATATATCTTGTAATGCTTTGAGAATAAGAAAAGCGCATCTTAAATAAAATGTGTTATTATTATTATTATTATTATTATTATTATTATACATGAAAATATTAATAAAATAATAAAATAATAATAATACAATAAATTAATTATAAAATATATATAAAAACAGAGCGACATGGTGGCTCGGTCACCTTACAGCAAGAAGGTCGTTGAGTCGAGTCCCGGCTGGGCCAGTTGGCATTTCTGTGTGGAGTTTGCATGTTCTCCTTTGTTGGTGTGGGTTTCGCTCACAGCCCAAAGACAAGTGCTATAGGTGAAATAAATGAGCAAAATTGAGTTTATGAGTGTATGTGTAAATAAATTGTTTCCCAATATTGGGTTGCAGCTGGAAGGGCATCCGCAGTGGTGACCTCTGAAATAGAGACTCATACATTCATTTTCTTTTTGGCTTAGTCCCTTTATTAATCCCTTTATTCCGCCACAGCGGAATGAACCGGAATGAACTCCACACAGGAATGCCAACTGACCCAGCCGAGGTTCGAACCAGCGACCTTCTTGCTGTGAGGCGACAGTGCTACCCACAGCGCCGTTGAAAAAGAGACTAAGCCGAAAGAAAATTAATAAAAACATTTTTAATGTTACATCAAACTTTCAGTGTGTGTGTGTAGTAGTAGTAGTAGCAGAATATACATTAAATAAAAAAATATATATTTTTTTTATTTTTTATATATTAAATATTATAATATTTTAATATTTTATATATTATTTTTTATATTAAATTTTATTTAATATATATTCTGCTACTACTACTACTACACACACACACTGAAAGTTTGATGTAACATTAAAACATGTTTTTAATTTTCTTTCGGCTTAGTGTCTATTTCAACCACGCTGTGGGTAGCACTGTCACCTCACAGCAAAATGAATTACAAAATGTTTTCATTCTGGAATTTCAGTGCCACCAAATTTCAGTCCGGCCCCTTTCCATGGTAAACAAACACCACCAGCTTACATGTGAGTTTTTGTGCCAATGTATACGTCATTATGTAACAAAAAAAATTGTTTTAGGCAGTCTGGTTTTATTGCCGAAGATGTTTATTAAAGGTAATAATGTTGTAAATAATGTCCCGTTTCTTAATAGACCAGTAATTTGCTTTATAAGTATTAAAAATCAGGATCCACAGGTAATATTTAGTTTTGCCTGTATGTGTTTTTATGACTCTCAAAGCCATTGACTTGCATTATATGACTCACCAAGACCCCATCTGAGCTAAAAAATAAATAAATAACAATCTTTAATGTTAAGAAAGTAAACGTCAATTACGTCTTGGATTGCCTGAGGAAGTCAAATTTAATTTTAGGAGTAAATAAAATGTCTCATTGAAAGTTTTTGTCGCATTATTTTATTAAAACCACTGGATGGCGACAAAGTTGCGCTTGCAGCTGTAACTAAGCATTTGTATTATTCTACTTCAATATTCAACTTAACAGATCGATAAGATACATGACAATCACCAGACAATAAAATGTAGGCTAGTTTCACCATAACCATAATCACGACTAACCTAATACAAACTAATAAGTGCTCTTTTACAATAATAAACTTTAAAAGAAAATGCACAATATATCAAAATGTAAGAGAAGCCTATTTAAAATGACTTTACATTCTAAAGAAAACTGTGTTTATGAAACAACTATTAATAACAACGAACGCCTTTTATAAATCAATAAAAAAATAAATGGAAATAACTGCTCAGCTAAACTGTGCCCTTTATTTATTGTTTCAACATAAAAGAGCAGCACGCAGAACAATCTAACGGCCCCGGAGCCATACAGTCAACTCTTTTATTTTTGTTTTCATTGAAAAACTGCCCTTATGTCACTGCAGATGATGCTGCGGTAGATCTTTCTGAAACGATGACATCATCCCCCTGGCCTTGGCAGTGGAGCCGAACACACGAAACACACTCCATTTTGGCTCCAGTCCAGAGCGGAGCAGAACGTTCAGTCTCTGATATTCAGAGAGCCAACATGGCGGACAAGTGAGCCGCGGTTTCCTGATTGTTATTGCTTTTGGAGGAAGTATGCCGTGAAGCCCTTTAACGAAAGAAATGCGCCCTCATTGGTTTCCACGGTGTTTACGGAGAGAGAGCCAATCATATGTGCCCGCTGATCCAGGTGATATCCCTCCTACCAGTATCTCCGGAGTAGGTTTATTTTGGTTTACCCCCCGCTCCTGCGCCGCCGCCATTAGAGCCAGTCATATCGGCAACAGAAATGGGAATTCCGGTGTCTAAAACCCTCTAAAACCCGCTTTGATCGGAAGATCGCGGTGGTGTTTGGGGTTTCAGAGGAAGGAGAGGAATAACATGGGTGTTCGGCCGCAGGATATCTCTGCTGTCGCGGTAGATTGTCGGTGCTGAGCTGGATTTGGACCCGATCGGATTGGGTTTCGGTAGGACAGACGTTCGGTTTGCAGAAGGACGAAGTCGGGAACGGCAGTGTTTGCAAACTGAAGTGTGGAGGGCAAAGACAGGTAAGGGCCTTGCCATTTATGTTTTAAAAAATCACTGTAACGTAACAGAATATATGCAACAGGGCAAATGAATCCATATTTTCTCCCAGCTTCCTAATACTCGCGTATAATTCATGTGCATATTTTTAGTGTTTATTTATTTATTTAAGGAAGTGAAAATGTCAGCATACAGGCTAAGCTCAAGTAGCGTGTTTATTTACAGTGCAGATACAAACACTGAAGCTCTTTTATGGTGTTGTTGTAGTTCGGGTAAAATCGACACCTTGGTGTGGAATTCCGAAGCGAGCCGAGAGTGTTTACAATGTAACAGCGCTCAGTTTCTACTGGATGCATTTCAGCTGTGTACATTTGAACTTGAGACAATGTAAGCAGCGGAAATGCTTCTCGAATTCCATTTATAGCGCCCGTTACAGAGAAACCCCTCTCACCGTTATAAGGTTGCTGTCATGTATAAAGAGGTTATGTGTCAAAAGCCACTGAAATGCCAACATGCACAGCATTTTTGCGGTATTACAGGCGCGTCCAAGCTTTTGGGTTTGACAGCTCGTTATCCAATCTGACAGAATTGAGGTAAAGGTCAAATTTGGCTTTCTCCCTAATAATATATGATCAGAAAGTATTCTTTGCAAATTGTTAATAGTTAATAAATAACAGATGATGACTATCGAAGTACATTGTTTACAGTTATTATATAGTGCTAATGTTGTTTTCAAGTCATACTTGCATGCTATTTCAGGCTGAATATTCAAAGTACCATGGTAAACAATATAGGGCGCATGCCACAAGTTGTCACTAAACGAATGTGCAAATAAAACAACTTAACCTCAATTCTGACATTCAAGTAAAGTTGGCTTCAAATTCGCATGTTTGGACTTTTTCCTTAATAATATTTTAGTTTTTTATTTTCAAGTATTGTAAATTGCAAGTTGTTAATAGTGAAATCATATTAATGACTATCAACATTGTTCACAGTCAAGTATACAGTGCTAATGGTGTTGTTAAGCCATACTTGCATGCTATTTTAGACTGAATATTCAAAGTGGCCTGGTAAACAAGCCTGTCACAAGTTGTCACTGAATGAAAAAAAAAAAAAATTACCTAAATTCTGACCTCCTCAGACTTTTACTGTCATAAAGCAGGACTGATATTGTTGTGTAACATTATTTTAAAATGCTGTTTTTTAATGGGAGACCTAAACAGTAGTGATTGTGTCAGATGAACTCTAAAAAAAAATGCTGGGTTGTTGTAACCAAATGTTCAGTCAAATATGGAAACTATTGCATATAGAGTGATTAAGTCATGACTCGTGGGTGTTTTATTAAATATCATTTCACGTTACAAGCGCTATATTGAACACATAATAAAGTACACACAAACTTACTATATATTTATATATATATATATATATATATATATATATATATATATATATATATATATATATATATATATCATATAATGATATTAGAGGCGCGTCCATGCTTTTGGGTTGACAGCTCTTTATCCATTATGACAGAATTGAGGTAAAGGTCAAATTTGGACTTTCTTCTCAATAATATAATTTCAGAAAAGTATTGTTTGCGTTTTGTTAATAGTGAAATCATATTTGCAGTCAATG